GCACAGGGGAGCACAGCTTTGCTCTGTGTGCCACTCGCTTGGCTTTGTCCCGGGTGTTTCCTGGTAAATATTTGCTCTTTGTTTTTCTACGTTCTTGGCAGCGGAGACGCTGACGGCAACATTCAGAGCTGTGAAAGCGTCGTTTCCCCTCCATCTGCGAGCCGCACTTTTGCCTGTCAGGAATGGGCACGGAGGATCCACTTGCTGGGTGACAAGGTTGGGGACTGAGTGAGAGCCTGTCCCCTGCCAGGGCTGTCCTGCATCGTCACTCCCGGCAGCTGATGGGAACTCAGCAGGAGGAGCTGTACGGGGTCTCTGCCAGCTTTTTGTTTTGTTTTGTTTTTCCTCCGAGAGCGCCCTTGGTTTCTCAGGCAAGGTTCTGGGAACAAGCCAGGCTTGTGCACTGCACCACTTCCCCGTCGCAGTGAAATGGAGGCTGTCGGGGTACTCGAACTCTGGGCAGAGCGGGGCCAGCTGGGGCATCCTGCCCCCTAAGTGACCTGCGATGACAAAGATTTTTCCTCGCCTGTTCAGCCAGCTGGGAGTGTTTGCCCAATTAAGGGTAGCGTCCCCGAATACTGCCTGAGATGTGGTCCAGGGGAGGTGAGGGGGCTGAGACGGAGAATTAGGATGATGAACTTTGTAGCGGGAAAAGGATGCCCATCACAGGGGTCCCAGAGGAGTCCGAGTTACCCAGGAGCATGGGAAGGGGCCTCCTGCGGCGCTGGAGCAGCCTGCTGTCCTGCATGCCATTTTGTAATCCCAGTGCCACAGCTCACAACTAACCAAGTGCCACCTGGGCAGCGGTTTGCTTGCTTTGTGTCCCACTGCAGGGCTGTCCTAAGGCCCTGTCGTTCCGGCAACTAGAAGGTTTTTCTAGGATTCCTGCTCCTCCATGCTCATTCTAGACCTCATGAATTAACAGGTCCCTCTGTTCTTGTTTCCAGATGATGGTGCCCTACCATCATCTAGTAGTAGGAATTCTTGTTATTAATGTTATAGTGCATGTTTTGCATTTTAGTGTTGATTCCATCAGCCCATTCTTGCTTCTCTTGCACATAGGATTGTCCTGTCCTTCCTGCATAACGCCCCAACCCTCCTCTGCTGGCTGAGCTTCCTGGCCGTGTCTCAACAGCAGGTCTCAGTGTAGCAGGCACTTCATTGTGCCAAAGCTGCCAGTAAAAAGATTAAGTAAGGTTTGTCCTGATCTCTGCCTTCTCACTCTTCATTCATAATTTCCCATGTGAGGCAATATCAGATGCTTTACTGAAGTGCTGGTAAATTTAATTACCGTGTTTTCATGTCCAGGAACCAACATGTCTCATCAAAGTTGGGCTTGTCTAAGCAGCCAGAAAACCCGTGTTTGCTTTTAGCCTGTTCTGTTCTCTTCATCCTCTTTAGTGTTGCTGCCAGCGGGCCCCTTTCCTACAACTGATCCTGCAGAGCCGCTCTGGCGAAGAAGGTTTACGTGTCTTGTCTCTGTGAAGGATCCGTCCATTTAGCAAGAAGAGATTAGGGACTGTTTTGACTGAGCGGATTCCCGTCACCGCTGCCGTCCCCTGCCATCCCCGGTGGAAGCGTTAGCGCATCCGATGGAGGGCCGGTGGCCGGGGATGCTCCACCAGAGCCTCCAGGCTGTGGCACAGCTGGGCAGGAGTTGGCTCGGAGCTAGGGAAGGGCCCTGGGGAGCCGGTCCCCTGTGCTGGGAACTGCAGCTTGGTTGCGATTTGCAGTGCAGGGAAGAGAAAAGAATTGGCGTCAGCAGCCAATGTCCATTATTTCAGTCCTTTTTCATTCTGCTCATGTTTTCCAAATTGCCTTGTCCCGAAGCATCGTGGTAGTAGGAAAGCAAGTAGTTTCTGAATAACTCGCTTTGATAGAAATACAGATAATCCAGCCAGAGTGTTCATGCTCACGTAATGGAGTTTGAGTTTTCAGCCCTACATGAATTTAAAAAATGAATCTGCAAGGTCCAAATTGCTTCAGGGAAGCAAATTTCAGGCATCGTGTTCCAGCCGCGCTTGGAAAGCCATCTGTCTTCACATTTCTGCTCATGAGCACAGAGCAAGAGGGGCTGCAGCCTGCGCCTGCCGCTGGTGCCTGGGGAAGGCAGCCAGCTCCACCTCTTCTCCTTGTGCTGCTTGTGCTGTGGAGTCACAAGTTGGGAATTGTTTTCTTGTAGGGGCAGTGAAGAATCTGAAGTTGTCTTGGGGAAATAGTGGTGTGTGGTGCCTCCTTCTGCGGCACCTGGACCCCCAGGCCTCTTTGTGAGTGTTTGCAAAGCCCCCCGTCCTGCAGACGGAGTTTCGTTAGTGCTCACGTCACAGCACTGGCTGTGTGGGGGAGTTCGGGGCTGTGCTGCAGGCAGATGTTTTAGTGATGTGCTCAGCCAGACGCAGCTCCCATCACCTGCTCCCTCTGTCCTGGGCTGCTGCAGCTGTAGGAGAGCGTTTTGTGAGGACTACAAGTTCTACCACACCTGGGCTTTGTTGGTCACTACTGTGATTCAGGCTCGTTTTTTCATTTTTGTCAGCTCAGTTGGAAAGTTGCTTGCCTTTTGAAACACCTCAGTCTAGTTTATTTTAGTTATTGCTTCCACTTCTTCAGGCATAGTGAGTATGGCTGCGTCTCCAAAGATCCAGGCATTTCTGAGCTTCATATAGACCCCTGCTAGTGTAAAGGTCTGTGATGGGGGCTGCAGCGCCTCAGATGTATTGCTGATACCAGGATCCTGAGCTCTGCCGTGGGGTTTGGAGGAAGGGCTCTTTTCTTCCACTTTCTGGAAGGCTTCCTGAGGGGCCACTCCTGGCTGGTCTGAATTGTCAGTAAAGACCTTAGGAGTGAGTATTAGATGTTTTTCTTCAGGTTTAATTTATAGAGCTAGCATGTGGAGACTATGGTCCCAAATACAACAATTGAGAGTCTGGAGCCATGGCTGTCCTCTTCCCATCACACTCTGGGTGAAAAACATAGTATTGCGAGCATGGAGGAGGAGAGATACCGTGTGTCTCCATACCCTGGTGTTCAGTTTGAAGTGGCAGTCAGGAAAAAAGCCGATGTGAACAGTATGAGGAGCAAAATGGAGAAAGCACAAAGGTAAATTGATGCCTGACCTTCATCGTGAGTCCTGTGTGCAGCAATGATCAACTGTCTCCAGTTACTGCAGACTTAGAGGGCATGGAGACCTCAGCTGTGGATAAATCCTCCCTTAAGAGGTTGACTATGTTAAGATTGTTTCCCCAAGAAAGCTGTAGTAATGGAGGATATGACAAAAAAGATAACAAAATACACTATCATGTACAGAAATGAGATTCAGAGCTGCTGTTCCCATATCTCATAAGAAGAGCAGGGAGATTTCAGTGAAATCAAAGGACAAATGCATTTCTGCACAGTGTGCTTGCCGTTCGAATGCGGAATCCTAGAGTCAGGCACCAGCTATCACTGAAGAGGAAAATGGAGCATAATTCAGAAAGCTTTATATGAGGTCAAGCTCTCCAGTGGTATGGTGAATATGTGTTTCAGGTGTAAAATAAAACCTTCCAGGGGATTTGCCTGTTTGGAGCCAGGAGCCCATTCATTTAGAAATACTGTTCTGCATCGGTGGTGCCAATGATCTACAGGGAGCTGTGGGGAGAGGATGGGGATGTCCAGTGTTGAGAGTATAGAGAAGGGGCCAGAGCATGGGTGCCAAGGGCTGGGGTGCAGAGGAGTCCTGGCATGGCAAGGTGTTGTGGAAGGCTTATGTGGAGGACAGTTTTTGTCCAACCTGTTTTTGATTTTTCTCCTCCAGGAATCATCCACCAGATGAAAGGTGACTATGACACTGCGCTGAGGCTGCATAAGACACATCTGTCCATCGCTCAGGAGCTAAGTGATTACGCTGCCCAGGGCAGGGCCTACGGCAACATGGGCAATGCCTACAACGCTCTGGGCATGTATGACCAGGCAGTGAAGTACCATCGACAGGAGCTGCAGATTTCCATGGAAGTGAATGACCGTGCCTCGCAGGCATCCACGCATGGGAACTTGGCAGTTGCCTATCAAGCACTGGGTGCTCACGACCGTGCTCTGCAGCACTATCAAAATCACCTCAATATTGCCCGAGAGCTGCGAGACATCCAGAGTGAAGCACGGGCCCTCAGCAACTTGGGCAACTTCCACTGCTCTCGAGGAGAGTATGTACAGGCCGCCCCTTACTATGAGCAGTACCTGCGCTTGTCCCCAGAGCTGCAGGACATGGAAGGGGAGGGGAAGGTTTGCCATAACCTTGGCTATGCCCACTACTGCCTTGGGAACTATGAAGAAGCTGTAAAGTACTATGAGCAGGATCTTGCTTTAGCAAAGGATCTTCATGACAAGCTGAGCCAAGCCAAAGCTTATTGCAACCTTGGCTTGGCCTTCAAAGCCTTGATGGACTTCAGCAAAGCAGAGGAGTGTCAGAAGTATCTGCTGTCCCTGGCTCAGTCTCTGAACAATTCCCAAGCCAAATTCCGAGCTCTGGGGAACTTAGGGGATATTTTTGTCTGTAAGAAAGATGTAAATGGTGCAATAAAATTTTATGAACAACAGTTGAGCTTAGCCCATCATGTTAAAGACAGGAGATTGGAAGCCAGTGCCTATGCAGCCTTGGGTTCTGCATACAGGATGATACAAAAATGTGACAAGGCTTTAGGCTACCATACACAAGAACTGGAGGTGTACCAGGAGCTGGGGGAAATGCCGGGCGAATGCAGAGCACATGGGCACCTTGCTGCAGTGTATATGTCTCTCGGGAAGTACACCATGGCTTTCAAGTGCTACGAAGAACAGCTGGAGCTTGGGCAGAAGCTGAAGGACCCTAGCATAGAAGCCCAAGTCTACGGTAACATGGGCATTACCAAAATGAACATGAACATCATGGAGGAAGCTATTGGCTACTTCGAACAGCAGCTGGCCATGCTGCAGCAGCTTAGTGGAAACGAATCTGTGTTAGACCGAGGCCGAGCCTATGGGAACCTGGGAGATTGTTACGAAGCTCTGGGAGATTTTGAGGAAGCTATAAAGTATTATGAACAGTACCTGTCTGTGGCTCAAAGTCTGAACCGTATGCAAGATCAGGCAAAGGCCTACCGAGGCCTGGGCAATGGACACAGGTAATGAGTGCACGAGGCAGGAGCATGTGCATACGGGAGCGCGTGGAAGTGCACGAAGGTGTGCAGGGATGGGATGGCGTGTGAAGGGTGGGAGATGTGCGTTGTAGGGATGAAGCATGCGTACAGAAGGGGAACTTGAGCAGCTCGGGGGCTGCGTAGGAGCGTCATAGAGATTGGGCCAAGCAGAGGAGTGCAGAATCACCTACGTCGTTCATCACCAAAGCGGGGTGGGACGAGTTGATGTCTGGTACAAGGATAGGAGAATGCACCGTGTTGATGGTGGGATGCCTTTCTGTGACCATATGACACGTGCATGAGGATGTAGGACTGAATAGCAGATGCTGAGAAGAGAGTGATTTAGTCTGTACTACTGTCTCAAGTAGGGAAGCTGACATGGTTCTGCACTTAGAGCAGGGAATTTGTAAGGTAGCAGAGGAAGGAGGCAGATTCAAACGTGCTGGGGCTGACTCCTTGGGGGAACGTTTGTCTGTGCCCGAAAGATTTGAGCTTATGGTGGAGATGAAGTTTCTGGAGGAAGTGACAAAACATGTTGTTTCAAGGAAGGAGTGGTAAAAGAAGTGCTACTGTTTTCTTTCCCTGTAGGGCCATGGGGAGCTTGCAGCAGGCTCTGGTGTGCTTTGAAAAGCGGCTTGTGGTGGCACATGAACTGGGGGAGGCCTTTAACAAAGCGCAGGCCTATGGCGAGCTGGGCAGCCTGCACAGCCAGCTGGGCAACTACGAGCAAGCCATTTCATGCCTGGAGCGCCAGCTGAACATCGCGCGGGAGATGAGGGACCGCGCTCTGGAGAGCGACGCAGCCTGCGGCCTCGGCGGCGTCTACCAGCAAATGGGAGAGTACGACACAGCCCTGCAGTACCACCAGCTAGACCTGCAGATTGCGGAGGAGACCAACAACCCCACGTGCCAGGGCCGGGCCTACGGGAACCTGGGCCTCACCTATGAGTCCCTGGGCACGTATGAGAGAGCGGTTGTCTATCAGGAGCAACATCTCAGCATTGCAGCACAAATGAATGACCTTGTAGCCAAAACTGTGTCTTACAGCAGTCTGGGGAGGACTCATCATGCCTTGCAGAACTACTCTCAGGCTGTGATGTATCTGCAAGAAGGTAGGAGGCTGAATTGTCTATTTCATGTAATGATGGATGCAGGGGAATAGCTGGGAGATCTGAATCAAAGAATGCTTGAGGTTGGAAGGAGAAAAGGAAGAAATGAACTACTGTGAGTATGGAACTAAAAGGTGGTTTGAGAGTAGCGTTTGATGCTAGAGCTCCTGCAGACATCCCGAGCTGTTGTTAGATGTCTGTGCTGCACCACACAGGTTTTTGGGGATGGCACAGCTTGTCAGTGACAGCCTTGCTGGTATCTTGAGGGCAGAGCCCAGGCTGTGTCTTTTGGGGGCTTCTCAGCTGGCTCTGAGCTTGAACTCCTTACAGCCCCTTTGTAAAGGTCAGTTCTGTCCAAGCCTAGGGAGTGTCAACCTTCTTTATCCATAACATTGCAAACTGGGTCCTGGCTTGTAGATAGCCATATCAGTTTGTTTTGGACACATCTGTTCTGGACAGTAGCTCCAAAGCGATGTGTGCTGAGCCGTGCTTTGCTATTAGCCTCCTTCCTTTCCTTTCAAGCTAAAGTGGGAATGAGACCAGGAAGGTGAGTGTCCTCTAAGCTGTGAGTGGTAAAACCTTGTATTTGGATGGAGAGGTGACACAGGCACAGTCCTGAGCGTCTGGAAGGCATCTGCCTGCTGCTGAGCACCTCCCCAGGACCAGCCACAGCCCCTGCTGCAGCTGGAGTCCAGTGGGAAGCAGCATCTGCTCAAGGTGGTGCCTCTGATGGGGATAGGCAGCATAGCTTCAGTGTATGAAACTGGAAGCTGCAAGATTAATTACATCATTTAGTCAGGATTTCCTCAAACTGACCTTGGCAGGATTCCAGAATGCTAAGGAAGCTCAATTAAATTGGAGAGGCAGAAATAAAGTACAGCTCCTTCTGCAATGTGATGTTAAATCCTTGAAAGCAGTCTGTGAACACTGGCTGCTGCGAGGCTGTGCAGGGTGGCCAGGGCCTCCCTTTCCCAGCCTGTGTAGGAGCTGCCGTGAGCAGGAGGGTCCGTGGTGTCAGAGGGCCTGCGGAGGTGGGAGCTCGGGTGGGAGCTCCATGGAGGGATGGAGAATGACACAGAGGAAACTGCAGGAGGTGAGGTGAGATTCTAGGTAGCTCGCACCAGCATCTAGCTCTCTGCTCTGGCTCAGTAAATAACCTGTAGTGGGGCTGCCAGAGGGCTGAAGAGCATCTGGGAAGAAACAAGAAAAAATCACGTGGCAAGAGGTCCTTTTTCTGGCAGCTTTTGTAGCTTAGTGTGATTTTGACTGAAGGGCATTTAAGACATGAAAGCAAAGCTTCCTGGCTGGGCCTTTCTGTTTGTGTCTGAGGGGACTGCTCCTTAGCCTGCCTTGGAGCAGGACTTGATCCGTGCTGCCACATTCCCAGTGCTGTCTCAGCTCCGTAGGCCCCTCTGGTGTTGGTGGGATTCGTGTGTTAGAGCACACAGAATCCCAGAACGGTTGAGGCTGGAAGGGACCTCTAGAGATGGTTACGGCTGCCTTGGACCAAGGCCCTGGAGGCCCCCGGGCTGCTCCATGGCCTAGTGCCCAGCCAGGCTCAGGCAGAAATGCCCTCTCCTGGTGCGGAAGGCGCAGCTTTTCCTTTGGCTCTCGCTCACTCTCGTTCCTTTTCAGGACTGAGGCTGGCAGAGCAGTTGGGTCGCAGAGAAGATGAAGCCAAGATCCGCCATGGCCTGGGCCTCTCCCTCTGGGCGAGCGGGAACCTGGAGGAGTCCCAGCACCAGGTACGCTGTGGCGCGGCTGGTGCTGTGTGCCAGGTCTGTAAGGCCGAGGGTCACCACGGCTCTTTTCTCCTCCCAGCTTTACCGGGCCTCGGCGCTGTTCGAAACTATCCGACATGAGGTACAGCTGAGCACAGACTACAAGCTGTCGCTCTTCGACCTGCAGACATCCTCCTACCAGGCCCTGCAGCGAGTGCTCGTCAGCCTTGGTAAGAGATACCACAGGACGCTAAGACGTTGAGCTGCAGAGGTTGACCAAAGCTCCAGGGATGCGACTCATGGTACACCCTTCACTCCCTGAAGCCCTGGGCAGCATATTGATTTATCAAGGTGGGAGTAGGGATCTCCTGCTTTGGATTACAGGGAAATTCTGCTTCCTTTTTCATTCATCTTGCTTTCTATGAGTCAGTTTCCCATTGATCATGTGAGCGCTTGCAGCCGAGGTGGCCTGTGGGGCGGTCTTCCAGTGCAAGGAACACTGTTTCCAGAAATAAGTAGAATTACCCTGCTTTAGTATGGGTTGGGATAAGAACTGTCCGTTGCAGACCACACAATATCTGAGAGCCAGCCTTGCCTGCTGAAGTGCAGTTCTTTCTTCCAGGTCATCATGATGAAGCCTTGGCTGTGGCTGAGAGAGGACGAACGAGGGCCTTTGCTGATCTGCTTGTGGAACGCCAGACAGGACAGCAGGACTCTGATCCCTATTCTCCAGTGACCATCGACCAGGTCCTGGAGACCGTAAACAGCCAGAGGGGGCTTGTTCTCTACTACTCACTGGCTGCAGGTTATCTCTACAGCTGGCTTCTGGCTCCTGGGGCAGGTGAGGTCCTTTCTAAGGTCTGTGAGACCTAAGAAGGTCTAAGGTCTGTGAGAGTCTGTGAGCAAGCCGTACAAAGGGGAATCCTGCAGTTAGGAATAAATCTGGGACCAGAACAACCGTGGGAGGGAATTGTTTGGGTTGAATATGTCCAACGCCTTGAAGCTGGAGCCTTGCGACTCTGGTATAGCCTGGCAGTATTCAGGTAGAAGTGTAGAATTTACCCAGAGATGGAAGTGTTTCAGGTTTTTAATATTTCTATCTTTCAGCCGCCACTCTGTGCATTTCCCATAGGGCAATGCTGAGCAATAATGAGATTTCAAGTATGTTGGCTCTGTGAGAATCTTCTATGCATAAGAATCCCTACCTTAATTACATTTCTATGCTTTATACCTCCAAAAGCTTTTGACATTTATTCACTGAAGTGGATTCCAGAGAACAGAAGGGCGTCCCCACATCTTGATATGCCATTGAACTGTCTGATCCTCTGAATTCTCCTTGAATGAATGTGGAAACACTTATCACAGAGGAGCAGGGAGGATTAGTTTGAAGAGGATTGCTTTTTGCAGGCAGATGTTGTTCATTTTCTAATAAAGTGATGACTGTAAATTCTCATGAGTTCTTTCTAGATATAATTTAATAATTGCAGCCCTTCACCATGACAAAGCTAAAGAGATAAAAGGCTCTGATTTAGATTGCATCAAAAATGCCTTGAGAAGGGAAGCAAAATTCACAAATGCTTGGTTTCAGATGGGATGAGTCACTGGAAGATGTGTTTTTTGGAGTATTTTTCAATATTGCATGTGTAAAGATAAGAAGGTATCACCATGCTGTACATCCAGGCACTAATTGGCCCTTTAGTTTACAGTTTGCACCATAAAATGCTAGGAGTTCTGTAGTTCTGAGGTAAAATTCATTGAACTAAAATTATAGTGATGAGAAATAAATGATAGGCCACCAGACTTCATAAAACAGCTTTCTTGATTTCTTCTCAGTTCCCTTGATGCAGATGGAGAGAGTAGCTTCAGTGGTAGCCTGGGATCTTGTTTATCCCCCTGGGATGGTGCCTTCAGAGCCTCTTAGCTGGGATACAGTTCACTGTAATAGCTGATCTTGCTGCAAAATGAGTTTCTTTATTCTTTATTCCCCTGCTCTTGTTAACAGCTTTAATAATTTATGTAGTCAGTGCAGGCAGGGCATCCAGAGCAGCCTTGTACTGTTGATCACAGGCAGTGGTCCTGTAGGATTAATCGTATCAGGAGGGATATGCCAGTCTGAGTGGAGGAAGGTTTTATCTGCAGTAATAGTTGAATCCTTGCCAGAATAGCAACTGCCCTTTATCTGGTTTGCCTGTTGTGAAATGCTAACTTTTAATATTTTAATATGCATTAATCCACCCTTTTCTTTCTTTGTATATAATGTATTTTCATGCATATGAGTGAAATGAAATCTTGGTGTGACATGAGGAGGTTCTGCTGTAGTAATAACGTTTTTGTTCAACATTTGAGCCTTGTGCAATATATATGATCAGAGAATATTTATAGAGAATTTTCATGTGCAGCTACAGAAATGCGTATTACTGTGGTAGATGCTCGTAAGAAACATCTGCATTATAATTTATATGAGGCTGCTGCAATAGCAAGTGCCTTCTGAGTGTCTCATAAAAGCAGTGCTCAGCCTTCGTACCTTTGGGCCATCATCCGCAAAATACAAAAACAGACTTTAAAGGCCCAGCTCGGTACAGAACGCTGTGAAGCCCCGCGGGGAAGCGGTGCAGATTGTTTTGTCCCCTTGTACCGGGGATGCCAATTGCTGGGACCGTACCCCTTGGCGTCCGCGTTCCCGGAGGCTGTAACCCCACGATCCGGTGCCTTGCAGGAATCCTCAAGTTCCACGAGTGCTACCTGGGCGACGGGCTGGCGGAGAGCGCGGGGGACTTCCCGGAAGGCAGCAGCGCGGCGCTGCAGACGGCGACGAGCTCGGCGCTGGAGCTGCACGTCTCCAGCGTGCGCGAGGCGCTCGGCGTGGACTCCTACTACAGCCGGTAAGGGGCTGGCACCCCACTGCCCGCCTGGGGCAGGTGAGCTAGCGGCGGCCAAGTCGGAGAGCAGGAGGCAGAGGAGGGCAAATTTTCTATTCAGCAACAACAAAATTGCTTTATTTTTGTATCCATGGCTATTTTTTTTCCTGGCAAATAATCGCGTGCATGTGCAAACAAGATTTGAACCCATAGACTGGGTAATGAACCTGGAGATTGGAAAATGAGGCCGATTTTGTGTATATGGGCAGATGCTTGTATATACCAGTGTAATTAATTCCCCTTCAAAGGTTTAGTTCTAAGGCACTGCAAATACCATAGGGTTTTCCTCCCCCACCTCACCCTCCTGCAAATACTCCCTCATTGCTAAAGCTGAGTAAACAATTCACAGTAAATTAATCCATCCAGTGAATTTCCACAAACAGGTAGGAGTTTTACTCCAATTTATTATTCTGATAGGTTCCACGATTACCTGCCTTTTTTACCCAGTGTATTTATTGTGAACAGCCAAATTCAGACTTTGCTCGTGTTTTGATCTCTTGTGGTGTTTGTTTTAATTTACTGATTGGTTGAATACTTGCATTCTTATTCATACGCCGGTATTTGCAAGTTGTACCTTCTCTCTAAATGTTTTATTCTGGAAAGCAGAGCAGAGCTGTCCCCATCCTTGTACATTCTTTGTGTGTGAATCATCTAGTGGTGCAATTTAGCTTGCTAGAACTGCTGCGTAGTCATAAATTGCTGTATCTGAGTGGGTTAGTAACACACTGGTGGTTTGCAAGTCTAATTTACTACCAATGTGCAGGAGAGTGTAGATCTGTATCGGCTGAGGTGTTAACCACCTCAAAAATGGTGTGAATGGAGGCACTGGGTTTTTTAGGTTTGACATAATTTAGTCTTTTTGAAGATGTTTTGTGTTTGGCCCTTTTCCTACAACCCTGAGGCTTGTGAGCAGTTCGTCCTGGAAGCTGCAGACATTGAGGATGTCCTCGTCCAGCCGTGACGCAGAAGTGCCCAGTGCCACCCGGTGCGTCCTCAGTGCGTCCTCATCACTCAGCTCTGTCCTCCTCAGCTACTCGCAGCCTCCCGAAGAGAACTGGAAACTCTGCACAGGAAACCGGTCTCCATGCAACGATTTTGGCCAAGAAAAAGGAAATGGTGGCATTGATCCCAGGATTGATTTGTGCTCACGATCGGGGCAGTGGTGCAGTGGCTGTAGCTCCTCCAATAAATCCCTGTTCATCCTCTGCGGCAGGTCCCCCCGCCGCGGGGCCGCCCCGGCCCCCGCCAGCAGCCATGTCCTTGGCTTCCTGCCGCTTATGTTCACACTCAGTCTGACAGGATTAGACTTTTCCATTGGGTTGAAATAAGAGCGTGAACCTCGTCCCGCTGTTCCCGTAAGGTGTTTCGGCTAAGCAGAACGTTATCGGATTTCCCAGTTGCTTTTCCCAGGACTTGCTCCGGTTTCTTAAAAGACAAATTAATTCTCTCCTTGGGGTTGGGGGTAACATGACACTTGGTTATATTATGTCCCCAGCACTGGTGAATAATGAAATTGGTTTCAGACAGTTCTGAGAAGTCTGTGGATATTCCTGCTCGCCAGGAAGGTGGCCTTTTCGCTGCCGGGAGCCTCAGGCTGCCAGAAGGAGGCTGGAAGCCATTGGAGACACTGGGTTTAGGCCGAGGAGGTGGCTTTCATCATTTCTGGTGATTCTAAAGTGAATTAAAGACTGTCGGTGTGTGATGGGATGTGAACATGTCCTGAAAGGTTTGCAAGACGAGACAAAGTCAAGTTGTGGTGACAAATGCGCCTTTCTTCGGGGAACTGGAGACAAACTATGCCTAGCACATAACTGTTTCATGGCCGAGAAAAGGGCCGGGTTTGTGAAGGGTGCCAGGAGATGCGTGTGCGGGGGCGCCGTGCCAGGAGGTGTGCGCACGTTTGTGTGCGATCTCTGGGAATGAATATCCCAGTGACGGTCTGTGCTTGCAGAGCACCTCCTGGCCCAAGCGCAGGTCCCGGCGCTGTCGACAGCTTCTCCTGCATGTCCGGGAGGAGCCTGCGCAGGATGCCCTGGCACGAGACGGGCTTGTGTCCTTCGTGCCCCTCGCCTGGTTTCTGCTTGGCGGGGTGGCAGCCACGTCAGCCACAGGGGAGCACAGGCTGCTCCTGTCCACCTCTTGGTGGACATCTGCCCCGAAAGCCAAGCTCCCACTGACAAAATGATTTGTGGATTTCTGGATTCCTACTTTACAGGAGCATTGCTGACTTAATCCTGTAAGAGCTAGACAAGCAGTACAGTGACAGTGTCTTCACACAGTGACACGCTGAAGACAGGTCAAGGTCTTGGAGATGCTGGTTCAGAGCACTAAAACCCAGCGGTCTGTAACCCATGGCATTTCACAAATAGATTGGTGGCCATAGTTGGCCAGGTTGCAAAGGAGGAGGAAAGTAAACCATGCCCCAAGAGAGGAAATGCAGAGTAAACCCCGTTTGCGTCACCCAGACACGAGAGGGAGGTTAACTGCTACAAGAGAGGAGAGAGAGGGAGATCTGGGTTGAGATGGACCGTGTGCATCTAGGAGAAAACTGGTGAGAGCCGTTTCTCCGCTCCACTGCGCTGCCCTCCAAAGGAGGAGGTCATGTTGGAGCAGTCGCTGTGGCTTATGGAGCTCTGCGGCTACAATGCAGAGGAAGATATGGGATGGGGTTTAATTCCTGTCCTGCAGGTTTTGTTCTGCTGGGGTAGCTGCACAGGGATTTTCTTACCCCACTAATTGCTTTCCTGGTGTGCATGAACATGTCTGCAGCTGTAACTCTGATTACCTATAAGTGGTTGTAGGTGCCACTGTCCCTTCCAAGTTGGCACGTCCTCCCATGCCTGCTCCCGGGAAGGGGAGTGCTGCCATGCCCTGCTTCCTCAGGGTTTTACTGGCATGAAGAGGCACCGAGTTTTCCGCGGCAGCCTTTGCTCAGTTCTGAAAGCAGTTCCTTTCAGCTGGACTAATTGAGTCTGCAAATACACGTTCTTGCCAAAAATAAAGTATGAGGGACTTGAGAATCTGCTCCAACTTGTGCTGAGATGGATTGGGGAGCCCACGTGACCTGCACTCCTGGAGACACGGACTCAGGATTTTTGCCTCTTTAGGGATTGCCAGATATACAGTGAGTGATCAGCAAAACCGTGCCAGGGCTCAGATGCGAGCTGCTTCTCCACTGCTGGAAAAGGAGCGTGCAGGAGGCAACTGTGGACAATCTTGCAACTCTTTTTTCTTATGCCATTCAGCAAACTCCCCCCTTCAGTGTCCAAGGAGTGATTGGTTTATGTTGGGACTTGCCCTTATATGTAATTAAATTACATTGACCCAGAAGTGTTTACAGGACACCCTGTGGTCCATACAGCAATGCAGACGCAGCTGTAGTTGCCTACAAGAGTGTATGTTGTGTATTAATGGGGTTCATGTACGTGTTATTGGAAAATGTGCCCTTGAGGAACGTTGTTGGGAGCCCAGCAAAAGGAAACGAGAGAGCTGTGGGGCAGGTTTAGCTTGTGGATAAATTCCAAGGTTTGTGATGCACCATATGCTACGCAATTTATTTATTAAGTTAAAAGGAGGGATTGTTAAAATGCGCAGACAGTAGTTGTGTTTGCCTTCTCCCTTCAAAAAGAAAACAAAATACTGCTCTGGCAGTTAGTTAGAAAATCTGCACCCAGATGCTAATTTAGATATTAAAGTCAGAAGATGGAGAATTTAGAAGTTTCCATTAGTATGCATTGTATTTTAAGTCCCTGAAGGTTGGATCTGTGAATGCCCACAGCAGGAGGAGCGGACAAGGTGGTCATTCACCGGCAGCCATGCCTGACAGGAGGAGTGATGACTTTCAGGGAAGATTCGACCTCAGCGTTTCGTGAGGTTGGGTCTGAAGTCCATCTTCCCTCGGCCTGGCCCAGCATTTGTCACAAAGCTGATGCTCTCATGCATCAGTGATGCCTCTCTGCCTGTTTTCTCTCTAGAGCCTGTGCCAGCAGTGAGACTGAGAGTGAAGCTGGGGATATCATGGACCAACAGTTTGAGGAGATGAATAACAAGCTGAATTCCATGACTGATCCAACTGGCTTGAACAGGTGAGAATGCAGCGCTGCACCGTGGGCATCAGCAAGCAGGCAGACATTTCTGTGGCAGACTTCACTTTGAACTGTAAGATGTAAAAGGGCCTCAGGCGCAGCTGCTGTCCTTCCTGGTGGTCTCTTTTTTGCAGTATTGCTAGAGGACAGAGCAGCAAAGTGACATTGTCCTTCATGGTTGCAGAGATTGTTTGTTTTACCCAAGAAATTAGCGGTTTAAATCAATTTAGGAGATCTTGAAATGTCATCTGAATGCTTTTCCAGGTAAGACCCAGTAGCTTAAGGTGAGAGCCAGCAAGGACTTATCAGCAAGTGATAACTGCCTGGGGTGGGGGCATTTCCAGTGACCTCTTCTCCTGGACAGGCTCAATTTTTGACTGACCGAACAATTGCAGAGGATCTCTGTCCCTGCTGTCAGCGAGGTGAAGAGCTTGGGGCTTTCTGCTCCTGATGTCTTGTGGAAGCGTTTGTTTCCCATTAATTTTAACTAAAATACTAATTAGCAGAGAACATGCTGCATTTTCAAAGTTGCAGTGCTTTACCTAGCTGACCACTTTCCACTTATTTTCTGCCTCTATAGAACTTGCTCAGATTTCAGACTGTCATGTCACTGTGCTGATTAAAGCAAGAATTAGAAGTAAAAATTGAACACAGAATCTTCCCAGGATCATCACTCCCCTCATGGGGAGAGGCCATGTGATGCTGAAGGAAGTGGCACGGGGTTTCTGGCTGGATCTGTATCCCAGCATGGATTCTGGACACAGGGTGCACCAGGTCTTCCGCAGCTGGAAAGAGAACTGGGTCAGGCTGCAGAGCTGTGAGCGCTCACTGGAGCTGCTGAGATGCTGCTGGTGACAGCAGCATCCCCTTGAAGCTGGGAGTTGCCTGCCGGCGTCAACAACTGCCCTATTTTTCCTTCCAGAATCCACATTCATGTCTATTCAAGCGCTTCAGTGATCATGAACTATAAATATTTGCTACTTCGGAGTCAAAAAGGCACTCCCCCAGGATTGCTGAGACATTTTACTAGTTTATCAGGGTCAGATAATTAGCAGGAGAATCCCCCTTCTAGTTACTGGGAGTGCAATAAGCTTTGATTCTGCTCCAGTTAAGTGCCAATCCCCAGGAATGCTGCAGAAGCCAATTGTGCAGCATCTGCATGTGTTTCTGCTCCGTGGGAGCAAGTGCATGGCCTTAAAGCCATATCAAGGAGCTCTCCTCGGGTGCCTTGTCAGGAAACTAGTCTGCAGCTGTTTGGAGAAGCCCAGGGATGGAGAAACATGAGTGCCTTATCCAAAGCACCTTCACAAGAGCATCAAGAAGTGGCCAGAATTTTGATGTTCTCATGATGCGCATTGAGAGCAAGAGAACAGCAAAACACTGCTGTGTGGTTTTGCTCCCTTTTGCCTGCAGGCAGAGAAATCTGGGGGTTTTAGTGGCAGAGCTACTGCTGCCACCTGCAGCCAGCTAAGCCCCGAGTTCAGGGCATTTGAGTGCCCACTGTGCATAGGCTGCCTTCGATCCCATAGATGGTGAGACTAGAGACTGCAGAGTCTGGGATGGCACTGCAGAAAGTACCGGTAGTGTTTGTCTACTGTGTGGTTCTTTCCAATTCAGCTGTGGTGAGAATGGTGCAGGTCATGGCATGTGGCACACCGAACTTGGGGCAACAAGGAGGCTTTCTTACAGTAGTCCTGCAGCCGCGGAAAGGAAGCCAGTGAAGGTTGCCATGGAAGAGAGCAGATTAAGAAAGGAAACAGAAGCTGGCAGCATTTTTCTCTGCTGCCTACAGCTCTAACAAGGGACTGTGAGCTCTCAAATTTTAGGAATTGACAGACTTGAACAGTTAGGAAGAGCACAGGTGTAATCTTAGAGCTCCACTCCATCTCATTTCTGTACATTGGCTGGGATGAGTTTATGTAGCTGTATGTCAGTGGTGCGTGGGTTATTGCAGCTGCAGTGCTTCGGAGGTTGGTAATATTGTGGCTTACCAGCAGTGACTGAGGATACGGCCTCTACTTTGACTTCTGCACTGCAGGGGACAAGGAGGAGCAGGGACTGCTTAGAGATGAGAATCAGTGTTTGCTTTCCCTGCTGCCAAAGCAAGCCCTGCTTTCCTCCTGTGGGGCCTGAATGCAGTGTTCACATCTTGTGATTGAATGTTGGCACTCCTCAAGGGAGCGTGCATGGCTTGGGGCCAGTGCAAGTTCCTCCACGCACAGGGTTTGCACATGCTGTTATGGTCCCATGTGAGAAAATGAGGTTTCAGAGACGCTGGGACTGTTTGGAGCCATTCAGTTTCGTTCTCTGGTGAGAGGAACTGCAAGACTTCAAGGAAGCCCTTGGCCTGGAGTGAGTGCCCCTCTGGTTGCTGTCATCAGGTAAATTGGTGAATTTGGCTTCTAATCAGAGAAGAGTGTTTCGTTTGATTGTTTTGTATCTCAACCTAGAAAAGCAAAAATAAGTCTGGTAGTAAACTTAAGGAACTTGTGGAAAGGAATGGGCTTTGCAGGAGAACGGAGCGCTGAAGGGGTCCTGACTGCCCGATCTCAGAACTGGGCAGTAGTTGTCTAAGCTATGGATGCCACTGACGTAGCTCATCTCCCTCTGCTCAGCAAGGAAGCTGGTCACTACCAGCCCCTAGATTTAGCTCCCTGGCCCTTTCTTTGGCCTTTCCTCAGTTGTGGGAACCCAGTGTATCCTTCTTCCCTGTATACCTGCAGAAAACATGGGTGTCAGCCCTGCCACTGCTCAGAGGAGAATGTGCATATCCCAGAGGGCAGCTTTTGCAGTGCAGCATAGTGAGAGTTGGTGAAAGGTGAGTGAGACGGGAGCAACATAACTTGAGGTGTGAATTCACTTCTGCCAGGGACGTTGCTATTTCCCAGACCATCTTACTATTGCAAAGAGCTTGCTTTCTCCAGCCGAGTCAGGTTGCAAAGGAAATGGTCCATGTTCAGATCCACACACAGAGCTAGGGATTTCCAAAGCAAGTTTGGTGCTCTGCTAAGATCAAAGGCTCTACAGAGAGAGCCTCAGGTAGGGCCGCCGTGGGGATACATTTTCATCTGTTTTTGCTCAGGGTTTCATCCTGGTGGCCAGTGTAATATTTGAGCATATCTCCGCTCTCCTCTTGGCGTGGGACGTGCCGTGTTGTTGTTTCTCACACTGTTGCTTGTGCTTACGTGGGGGTGCAGCAGGGGCTGGTGGCTCCGCAGGGGTTGGGAGGCAGGAGCTCAGCGCGGTGGCTGCCCGCAGGGCCAGGGCTGCTGCCAGGACGAGCTTCGGTGGAGGCCCAGGTGGGGCTGCTCAGACACTTGTTCTGGAGGACCACGCAGAGCAGAGGGCTTGGAGCAGCAAGGGTGCCGGCTGTAGAGACAAAGGCAGTGGCTGAAGAGCCTCTTCTTGCCTGGATCTGTCCGTGCAGGGTGCAGGCCACACAGACGGAGCGTGCTGGGTGGTCCGTGGGTGTTGTGCAACCAGCAGCGGGTTTTGGAGATGACTGTGGATGTCTGCAGGGAGCCACAGGGAACTCGAATTTGTTTTCTGGAGCTTCCTGCAGCCGGGCGTTGAGAGTGTGTGAAGGCCCTGCCTGTGGCGATGGGGAAGGTCTTCTGAAGAAGGCTTGGAGAAGGACACGTCTGGTGGGTGTCACATCCTGGGCCGTTGGCCTGCAGAGCCCTCCACAAGGAGTCTGGCAGCCAGCAGTGGCACCTTATCGAAGGCACCTGGCCAAAAGACCCGGAGGAGCCTCTTGCATTGAAGGCACTTGGGTACAGGTGACCTGGAGAGCAGGGAAGGGGCGAGCAGCCTTCTCCACGGCTGCTGGGTTTTCTACAAAAGATCCAGCCTCCCCTTGAGGATTTTTGCGCTTTTCCATGTGTGCACAGGCGGCTGGGTAAGGGGGGGTGAAAGATTTATGATGCTGCTTTGGTTTTGTTCTAATAAAAACCAATCTGAGTGGTGCAGGGATAAATCTAGAGTTGCTTGGCTGCAAAGCCAAGGTGCAGGAGGCTCTGCTGATTAGAGCAGTCAAGCCCCTCTCCGCGGTAATAAATGAGTCTGGTGAGATGCCCCGGGCGGCTGAGCGAGGCTGGCGGCTGCCACCTGCCGGCACCTCTGCCTCGGGCCGGCTGCGGTGGCCGGCGGTGCCTGGGCAGGACGGAGGAGCGGGGTCTGTCCTCCGCGCACGAAGCAGCAGCAGGGTCGGAGCGCAGCACCGTAGAAGCCTGAGGCTGGGAGAAGTGTGGGAAGCCCGTGTGGCTTTACAATCCGTGTTACACAAAGCAGGGAAGCGGCCGAGCTCGTTCGGCGCCTGCGAGGGGGCCTGGACGGAGCGAGCTGTGCTGAGCCGGGCAAGTCCCCGCGCGGGGTCCCGGCAGCAGTCACGGCGCTCGCCCCGCGCTCCTAATGCTCCCGCCGGCTGCACGGCGCAAAGCTCTGTGTCAGCGGGAACGCAGCTGGAAGCACCGTTTTTCCCATAGCAAATGGGTTTTAGACATGGTGGGAGCTGGATCTGGAGACTGCTTTCAGCAGCTGCAAAGGACTGGGGAAGGGTGAAGGATTTCCTGAATCTCGTTCTTGGTATGTGTCAGGAAAGGCTGGGATATTTCTCAAGCCTGTGCCTTGTCAGGAACAGTAGGAGCACATTCGAGTGCAATATTTCTGCTCTGCTTGTCTCCTTGCGTGCTGGTTTAGTCTGTGAGTTTGGAGATACTTTGTGCGGATACATACGCCTGTAGCGGATATGCAGTCAGCTGAAAATGTCTGTATTCATAAACCTCATCGGCTGCAATAACTGTTCACTTGGTTTTGTTTGTTTCCTGGATGTGCAAATACTTTTTGCTTTTGCTTCTTTTGGGTGCTGATAGCCAGGACTTGGCCAAGGAAACAGATAGAAGTGAAGAACAGAGACAAGGCATTTCTGGTGAGCCCAGACCCTTAGAAACGCCGTCGTAGACCTGTGCTGTGGTGAAGCAGCCCAGGTTTGGTGCTGAGCCCAGGGAGCTGTTCTGTCCTGGCGTGTGAGCTGGGAAGGGCGTGCGCCACGTCAGGTGTTCGGGGAGCAGAGCAGTCCTGTGCTCCAGAGGCAATCCCTGCTTGCAGTGCTGGGACATGGTCGGGACTGGGGTTATGGGGAACCCTCTACCGACTGCTTGCAGCACTTGGAGGATCACAGGGCATATGCTCCTTTTTAGGTGGTCTTTTATGCACCAAGTCTTTTATGCTCACACTTTAGAGCTCGCTCTGCCATTACTGCCCAATGTCTAGGATCCCCCACTGCCCTGCTTTATGGCTCACCTGCTGCAATTTTGTGAAAATGTATTCTTTTCATATAAAATGGTTGTTCATGGCCTCAAGCCCAAGATAACTATTCTGGGGAGCACAGACTGCTGCAGTAGGGAGACCAGAATGGGCAATGCCATTTCCTTGGTGTTTTGTGCACATGCTGTCCCAGCCACCTCAGATGCCAGTGTGGGTGGCTGGTGCCAGGAGACTGTGTGAGGAATTTTGCCTGTGCGGATTAACCCAGAATTGTCCCCTCTGCCACTTGCGTGGAGAAGGGATCATCAGCAAACAAAAACAGCCCTGCTGGGGGGCAGGGGAAGGGAACTGCACTGTGGTACTTGGGCAGTGCTTGGAGGCAGCCTTTCTTTGATTGAATTTTGGCCGTGAGCATTGTAAGAGAGCAGCTGGAGTTGGCCTGATAGCGAGCAAAGGAAACCCTGGCTGGTATTGCCAGGTCCCTGGGGAGCAGGAAAGCGGGAGCAAAACAATGTTGCAGGAAATGAGCAAGCTGTCAAGAAAACGGATTGCAGAGCTGTTCTCCTGCTGGAGATGGAGTTCCGCCTGCGTGCGCAACTCGGACGATGCGCAGGGGCCGCAGCCCTGGCTGTGGGGCCACGCAGGGGCAGACGGCCAGCGCAGGTGCAACCCTCACAGCCTGGTCCTGGCCTCTCGCCTTCCTCCCTCTCAGCTCCGTGCCCCTCTAGCAGGCACAAAGCGCCCCAGAGCTTCCTGTGATTGTAGTCAGCTGTTGATGGCTCTCACATTCGCCTGCACACAAGTATGTGATTAAACACATGAACAGCACTCTGGGACAAAGCTGTGTCATGGAGCATCCCATGGAGCTTCGACTTCAGATGGCCTGGCGGGTCAGCAGAATGATTTCAGGGCAACCTGATGTGGATTGCCAGGTTTCTGCAACTAACCTTTCAGTTGTCTTTTGTCCACAGGAGCTGTCAGAGCATGACCAGTCTGTTCAGCAGTACCATGTCTCCTGTTAAGGATGGGACGTCTTCTCTTCCAAGGAGGCAGACTTCCTTCACCAAGCCCCCGCTCCGTGCGCTCTATGACTTGCTGATAGGACCCATGGAAGGAGTAAGTGTTTAGTGAGGACAAACGTAGAAGTTCAATTAGCAAAATCCCCAGTGATCTGGGAAAGCAAGGACAGACAGCTTGGGAACTGATTCTGAGGCAAGGTGCCTTTAACTTGGTCTTCCCAGATGGTGAGACTGATTATGCTGGGAGATGGAAATAGGGGACTTTGCGTCTCCTTGCTTATATTTATGCCGCCCCAACCAACGCCTCCCCACACTCCAGCTTTGGCACCTCAGGACTTCACATGCTGCCTCTGGCCTCCTCTGTGACCTCTGTAGAGGTAACAGGTCACCCAGTGTCCTGGGATATTCCTTGTGCGTGAGCGTGGGGTGCCTGGGAGAAGGGCGGCGGGGGACAGTGACCCTAAGGACAGGTGGTGTGCTGGAAAGCTACCTCCATGGGAGGGAGGAAGCGGCTGCTGGACAAGGTGGCAACAGGGACTTAGTCCACGTGCCAGTTTCATACAAAAGGCAGCGTGTGTCGACATTGCTGCCAGCACCTGCAAACAGGACTGCTGGGCCATGCAGAGGAATGTATAGGCCAGAGCGGACGCGTCAAGGTTCATAGCACGCTGAGCAGGGGAGTTTATGCAGCTTGCCAGCTCTCATGTGATTTTTAAACCCATTGGGCGTCTGAGCTCTGCCCCGTCTCTGTGCATCCGTGGGCTCTGAACAACCTGTGCACTGTCTTTGCTTTCCCTTAAATTTCAAAACTTAAATGCAGCTAGTGATGAAACCAAAAAGTATTTTGTTTGGTTCTTAGAAATTCTGTATTCGAAGGTCAGAATGGTTAAGATGACAGTCGTAGTCATTTGGCAATAGCATTTGATGCCTCTCTCCAGACTGTCGTATCGTTTTGCTGCCCTCTTGCTGCTGCTGTCTGCCTGGTAAAGTCTAGTCTAGGGACCGTGGTGCAGCGCGCGCTCCGCTGTCCTCAGCGCAGGCCTGCTGTGCAGTGCAGATCGTGATGAATTCTTGCCCGTGTCCTCGGGCAGGCTGCGGATTTCCTTTGAGCAGAGCGCTCGGGCGGTTGCCCTGGATTCCCTGCGTTGTGGCTGTGGTACCCTTCTGTCTGCTGTTGACTCCATACTTTTAGTGACTGATACTTACCCTTCCACTTCTCTACGTCCTCGAGGCCTTTTGCCCCAAAAGTCCAAGGCAGTTCCTGGTTTTCCCAGACCTCTCATGCACGCTGTGCTGCTCTGTCTGTTGCTTTTTCAGTATTGGCAGTGCCCTTTGTGAAACGAAGCGAGCAGAACTGCAGACAGCTTTCTCATTAGAGGGCTATAACTGCTGGTTCTGATTTATGTTCCATACCTGCTGCAACAACATGTAAAGTCCTTGGAGCCCATTTGTTGTTTCCTTTTAGGGCTGCTAAGCCAGGTGCAGACAGCACAGTGAATTGCCACCTCCAACCTTTTCCTTGTTTCCACCCTTTTGCTCTGCTGTGGCACAGGATGGCTGGTGGTGCCACAGAGCCACCTGGGCCTCTGAGTGTCACACAGTGCCACCCTGTCAGCCGGGCGAGTGGCCAGGTGATCCTGGTCCTGGCTCTGTCCCTCCTACAGGTCGGTGCTTTTACTGGGGCCTGGAGGTGCTCCCAGGAGGTGCCGCGGGTGCCGCTGCAGGGATGGGTGGCTCTGTTTGCGTGCTCTGCGGTCCTGCTCTGCTTTCCTGCCCGAGCACCCCGAGGCCTGGCCCGCACTCTGCTCTGAGCTCGGCTGTCGCTGGTGTCTGGGCGCTTTTGTCAGCTCGGGCGCTGAGGGTGCAGGCGAGGAAACGTCCTGTGCTGGTGAGTTGAAGAGAAGAGCAGATGAGCAAAGGGAAGCCTGATTGCTCGGGGATGCCGTTCTGTCCGGGGTCTTGGAGAGCAGGCAGATCGCTCCAGAAGACACACGTGCATGCTGTTTGCAGCAAGGAAGATAGATAGCTTCCTTGGGGTAGAAAAAGGCATTTTCAGTGTCATCTGCTGCAAGTAGCTTTGTGTCCTCAAAATAGCTTTGCCTGGGAACATAACATCTGCTATAGTCTAAATAACCAAGCGATTTGAAGAAGAAATCTTCGGCTCAAACTCCAGGAACCCTCCTTTCCCCCTGCAGGCCAGGAATAACTGTGGTCAGGTTTGCTTGGTGGTTTCATGCGTTTGATATCTACAGTTGGTACATTTCCAGTAAGATACTAGATACCAGGCTTGGCAGGACTTTTGGAACACACAGAACTACTGGATTTGGGATCCTTGCTAACTTACAGTCTAAAAAATGCAGTTCAGGTGTTGCATGTGGTCTGGCTGTCCCATCATAGTGGAAAATTCTGATTATAGCAGCACTAGCTGCAGAGAGGCCCGTCAAGCCAGCAGCTGTCAGCAGGTTTAACGCAGCACCGCTCTGTTCCCAGCAAGCTGGGCACGGAGACTTGTCCTTCTCTACCAGAGCAGCCTGCGTTGTTGCTGTGAAGCAAACCATGGGTTCCTGTTCAACCGTTGCTGCTCTTTCTCACGGAATAGATTCTCTTTGTTAGAACTCACCACTAAAAATAAACCTTGGAGATGTATGTAATGCAAATAAGCTTCATAATTTTATTTCTCTCTCCTTAACGTGTGGGAAAAAATGTATTTTAGACTCTAGGACTTTTCCATGCAAATGGAAAATCCTGCAAAGCACATGTCATGATGGCTTAGATTGTGCTGCCAACAGAGCTCTGGAGGAGGGAGTCAAACAGAAAATACATAAAAACAAAACCAAACAACCCAGAAAACAGCAGCCCGGGTGGGAAGCTGCCCTCCACGGAGTGTGTGCGACGCAGCCACAGAGCGTGCGCCAGGCCCGGGGGACCCCGCGCTGCCGCTGCCAGGAGAAATGGCAAGAGGGCAGCTACTATTTTGAACTTCTTTTAAAAAGAAGATTTTCTTACCCTTCAGCAGTTTTCTTCCCTCTTTGAAAGTCGAAAACATCTAAAAGCATCTTGCTGTCTGCTCAGCTTTCTGCTATGTGACTTTCCCCCTCCCCTCTGACCTGATTTTGGTATTTTAGACTCCCTCTGGAGGAGACAGCCAGGCAGATGTTCCTATTCCTTAATTAATGTTCGTTCATCTTTTCTGCTGCCTGAGAGCTGAAGCTCGAGGGTGGCAGCAAATTTCTGCTGTGCTGTGACCGCTGGGGACGTGGGTCAGTGCATCCAGTGGGGGGACTCAGCCGCCAGCACGTTGCTCTCCAGCATGAGAGACCGACCCTGGCCAAGGTGGAGAGAGGGATTGAGCTCGTCATGCAGATAAAAGCAACGGTCCAACTTTACAGAACCGTCCGATGTGCACATGTGGTCACCAGTCACAGCAGCTGGGTCAAATGTATGCACATGAAGAGATGAGACTGTGGGATCAAACTAGAGCCCAACACATTGTGAGTGCAGCCCATGGGACTGATGCAGTCAAAGGACCAAACTGATGTTCTCTTTCTTTTCCAGGGTTTGATGCATTCCAGTGGTCCCGTTGGCCGCCACCGCCAGCTGATCCTGGTTCTGGAGGGAGAACTGTACCTCATTCCTTTCGCTCTTCTGAAGGGCAGTTCCTCCAACGAGTACCTCTACGAGCGCTTCAGCCTCATCGCGGTGCCATCCATCCAGTCGCTGAACCCCAGCTCCAAGGTCTGGCCTTGCCCCCACAAGCCTGTCTCTCGTAGACGTCTCTGGTGAGGCGGGTCTGGTGTATGCGGAACAGCAGCAGCCGTGTCCTGCTGCGCCTGACCGTAGAGCAGAAGCTGCAGATGTGCCGCTCTCCCAAGGCACGGCCGGCTCTGGAGCATGCTGAGCAGCGCCGGTGGCAGATAGATTCTGATGCAGTTCCTGCAGTAGGGAGGACGGGGGATGGATCATCTGAATCTCCTCCTCTAAGGTGTCATGTCCTCGGGTGTGCACTTTCATGGCAGACTGCAGAAATGTAGGTGACCTAGACTGAGCTTCGTTGCAGAGTTCACTGTGTCCTAGTGGACTCCTGAGATGTTTGGCTGCTTGGGAGCTCTCCACGTGGCGGAGGCCCCTCATGTCTCGTGACACTAAAGCTATAAGTCAAAGCCACCACAGGCTAGTCTGGAGGAATTGCCTTTATGTTGATATTTGGCAGCAACCTTCAGCTTTTCTAAGGCCCTGCATGCCCAGGGAGAACAACCTAGTCACATCTGCTCTTGCTGTGTGCCATCCTCGCACTGGGTTAAGCACAGTCATTAGAGCAGCAGAAGGGTCTGACCTTTGTCACGGCTATGGATGGGGGGATTCAGCTCTTCTCTTTATCGGGCTGCAGGGATCAGCTGCAGGTGACACCATGCACCTCGCAGTGGTGACATCGTTCCAGTTTGTGTTTACAAATGCTTTTTCCCCTAAGAAGGGAAGTTGGAATCTTCTTTATACTTGCAGTTCTGCTGCAAGCCTCCAAGGGAATCGAGGCTAAGTCTCTCTCTATTCTATGGTTATCTATTTCTCCACCTGAGAAATAGGATTAGAAAATCTGACAAGTAGAGCTGTTTCTTGGAGAGCTGAATGGAGGGAAAAAAAAGGAAATGCAAATTATTTTTGTAATTACAGTTATCAGATTACACTTTAGACACGAGGATACAGCATGTTTTACAACCAGCACCCCAGCAGACAGATCTTCGAGCCCTATTTTCTGTGTCTTTTTCTCTGCAGTCCCACGTGAGGAAGAATACTCCTGCTTTCTCCAGTTCTACCTCAATGGCAGCTGTCATAGGAAATCCCAAGCTCCCTTCAGCAGTTATGGACAGGTGGCTGTGGGGCCCTATGCCCTCTGCAGAAGAGGAGGCATATATGGTGTCCGAGTTACTTGGCTGCCAACCCTTAGTTGGCAATGCAGCAACAAAGGAGAGGGTCATGAGTGCCCTGTCTCAGGCAGAATGTGTCCATTTTGCCACCCACATTTCCTGGAAGCTGGCTGCCTTGGTCCTGACGCCCAACACTGACAGCAATCCAACCAGCAGCAAGAGCTCTTTCGGGAACCCCTACACAATACCAGAATCCCTTCGGATGCAAGATGATGCCAGCGATGCAGAGAGCATCTCAGACTGCCCTCCTCTCCAGGAGTTTCTGCTCACAGCAGCTGATGTCCTGGATCTGCGGCTTCCTGTTAAATTAGTGGTTCTTGGGTCTTACCAAGAATCCAACAGCAAAGTCACTGCCGATGGGGTCATTGGCTTGACAAGAGCGTTCCTGGCTGCTGGGGCCCAGTGTGTCCTGGTGTCACTCTGGCCTGTTCCTGTGGCTGCTTCCAAAATGTTTGTGCATGCCTTCTATTCCTCCCTCCTAAATGGGATGAAAGCCAGTGCAGCCCTTGGGGAAGCGATGAAAACTGTGCAGAGCAGCAAGCAGTTCTCACACCCATCCAACTGGGCAGGTAGGAGAATCTGCTTTTTGATAAACTGGATGGGCTTTTGGGGAAGTACTCTAGAGCCAAATTGCCTGTATTAAGCAAGGAATGATGCTAACGGGTGGCTGGAGGCTGCGTGTTGCCCACGCACTCCCAGGTGTCATCCACTGGGCTTCAGACCACGCCATGTGTGACTGCTCCTTTCCTTCAAGGGGGCTGGATGTCAGTGCCATGGGACACAGGAGCATTTCACAGCACACAGTATGTAGATAAGTTATGGATTTCACGATTTAAAACAATTGTGAAGGTGAAGTGTGTTTCATCGCAATGGTTTCATGACTGGAATGAGATGTGTGCTACAAAGCTCACTTATGGCATGGGTGATTGTCTTTGGTGCCTGGTTCCTCCACGACTGGGATGAATTTAGCTGGAGTTTGCTCCAATTCATCGAACCGTGTCCCTGATAACGCAGGTTTGACTGTCAGGAGGCAAGAGCAGTGTTTCTAGAAGCAGCAGCAGCAGTCGGCAGCTGTGATTTCCATGGCATAGACCTTGGAGGTCTCACTGATTTGCTCCCCAAGGGGAAAGGTTCCACTGGCCGCCCATGGAAATTTCCCAGCAGCGCAAGCGGAGCCAGCGGGATGTGCGGCTCCTCACTCCGCAGCTGCCTTAGTGAGCTGAGATGCAGAAGGACAAAGTTCCGGTGCTAATACGGGTAATTGTAAATAAGCTGCAGGGTTTTCCCAACACAAATCGTGTTTCCTGAAAGCTGTAAACATTCCCCGAATGTTTTCCCTTTGCACGGGCAGCAATGCCTGGTGTGTGGAGCAGGGGGCTGCGGGGCCCGTGGCTGGTGCGGGAGGGCAGCTCGCGGCAGCGCGCCGCGGGGACGCCGGAGCTGGCCTGGGAGGCCGCCCGAGTCCCGTGTTAGGATGTGACTCAGAGAATGGCTTTAGGTTACCGACCACAGTCCAACTGGTATTTTAGTTTCCTTTTAAGAACTTGCTGTCTCAAAGGAAAGAGTTTTTTAAATAATAATTTAAAGAATCCATTCCCTGGCAAAACATCACTTGTGGACATGGGCTCTTAGCTTTGCCCCCAGGCAGGGTCCGGCAGACTGCCCTAGTACTGCTCCTCTGTGGACTGTGAACGAGTCGCCTGCCTGGGGCTGAGCGGCGGGTCCTGGAGCAGGGCAGAGCGGCCTGCGCTGCGCCCGCGCAACCGAGCGTTCGCACGTGCAGCCAGCGCGGGTTTCTCACCCAGCCAGAAACACACTCAGTTTTCTGATTTCTGTTGTTTCTAGGCTCTGTTTAGCATCTATTGATTTCTGTTGCTGTAGAGCAGACATGGAGCGCGCTAGGACAGATCTAGCTGCAACACAGCATTTTTCCACTTGCTTGAACAGGAAAACAGTATTGATTTAATAGAGAAGGAGAGTAAAAAGCATCCAGGGAGCTTTCTGGAAGTTCAGTCTGTGGGACTGAGCAAACAGGCAGCTGCTTTTGGGAAAGAATATAACTCTGCAGGGGGCAATGAACCATTTATTTCATTAGCCTGAAAGGGCAGGGGGTATCTGCCTGTCTGGCAAGCGTCCTGCGATGAGAGGAGATTGAGAAGCTCTCACTCTGCGTCCTGCAGGCTTCACGCTCATCGGGTGTGATGTGAAGCTGAACAGCCCTTCTTCGCTGGTGGGACAGGCCCTGACGGAGATTCTGCAGCACCCCGAGAGGGCACGGGATGCCCTGCGTGTCCTGCTACATCTGGTAAGAGAAGGGACACGTCGCAGCACGGAGCGGGCGTGGGGACGGGCACCGCAGCGGCGTAGTCCTGAGCTGGCGCTGCTTGCGGGTGTGCATCTGAACAGGGAGATCTAACCGCTCGCACTTGAACATAGACCTTTCTCCCTCAGCACAAGGCAGTATCTTACCAAAATTCTGGGTCACAGTGAAAATGCCTGATGGGGTTTCCAGAGTCCTACCTTGTGTTGTGACAAATTCTTGTTCAGACCCATCTTGCTTGCAGTAGCTGTTGAATTTAGTCCATGCTTTAAAAAATGAGATAATTGATAAGATTAATTGTTTTTATAAGAAAATAACTACAGACATTGCAAGGGAAGCAGTAAATGGAGATGCAGAACAATTTAGTGACCACTGTCTTTTTGCATATTTGGAGATAAGAGGCACTTCTGTTCCCATATGTGCTAGTCGCCGGCTGTGGGGAGCAGCAGGACCGAGGCCAAGCTGACAGATGGTTAGAATCATCTCTTATGATATTGGGTATTTTTCCTTCCAACGTGTCTTCTCTGTTGCCGCAGGAATGTGGAATATCCATTGGGTTGTGGAAACCAATGAATAATGGTAGTCCTCCCAGCTGCTGTTTATTGTGAACACTTCTCCTTTTGCTTTTTAACATATATAGCTGTTTGCACAGTCTTGCCTGGTAACGAGCAGTGTGCTCAAGAGACTGGAGCCTGAGTGTGAGTCATCTTTTGGGGACAAATGTGCTGCCAGCCTATAGGAATGATCACAACCAAACCAGCATCTGGTTTCCTATGGCGTTCATGTTGCTGTGGTGTGTTCCTATGGCATTCATCCCACAGTGACGGATCACAGCAGTTTTGCAACTGAATATTGAGCTATTCCAAGGGCTCTGACATCCTTCTGTGTAAGATGAGGCTGAATGTCAGTCTTGCCCTTCCTGCCACTTCACTGTGTGCAGGGATCAATAATAAACCTTCCTTATAAAATAAGCTAATAAAATAATGCTGTATTGTGCCCTGAAGGTGGAGAAGTCATTGCAGCGGATCCAGAACGGGCAGCACAACTCCATGTACACCTCCCAGCAAAGCGTGGAGAATAAAGTGGGCGGCATTCCCGGCTGGCAGGCGCTGCTCACGGCCGTGGGCTTCCGCCTGGACCCCCCCAGCAGCGGCCTCCCCGCCGCCGTCTTCTTCCCCACCGCGGACCCCGGCGAGCGGCTGCAGCAGTGCAGCACCACCATACAGTCCCTGCTAGGTGAGCGCCCGGCCAGCGCGCCTCTACCCAGGGACTCCTGCCTTTTCCTGCGCAACGACGAAATTTGTCTGATAATACTGTATGTTTTTACAGTAACAAAATAAAAGCATTTAATGGGACAAAGTCTCTCCTCAGCGCCTGAGGCTTTCATGGCTGGATAGCAGAGGGTTATTTTGTCCTCGTTACCACTAGAGGGAGGCCCAGAACAAGAGGGACGTGATGAATTAAGGCCCTTCCAGTAGATCTGTATGCAGTGTTCCTGAGATTATGTCCCAATTGTCTTCTTGCCTCAGATAATTGAATCACGCAAGGAAAAGAAAATCAGAGTCTGTATACAGCTAACAGAATCCCTAGAAGTAAATGTTTATTGAGTATTTTGTCATATATGGAAATATTTACCACTGGATCCACTATCTGAGAAGCATGATGGGACTGTTCCTTTCTCAGTCAGAAACTCTATAATCAAATATAAAGTTAGGAAAATGCTTTTGCTTTCTGGAAGTTGCTGCTGCTTCCAGAGCTGTTCACTGATACAGGGAAGAGATTTTTAGGAGTTAGCTGAGTGTGTGTCCTATTCAGATTGTCTACCTGAACAGATATCGATAGATATTTCTTGATAGATATTGAATCTATCAAGAAACAGATTTTGAACAAAAAAAAAGAAACATATTGAACAATCAAGAAATAGTTTTTGAATGAGCTCTGTTGCCTTTGTTGTTTTTCAGGTTTGCCTAACCCTGCACTTCAGGCACTTTGTAAACTTATCACAGCTTCAGAAACCGGAGAACAGCTTATCAACCGGGTGAGTTGGGAGGGTTCTCTCCAGCACTGGTTTCCAAACGCTTCCTTACAGGCCCGTGGGTTCGGAGGTGCACAAAATGGTTTCTGTCTCAGTTTCTCAGCCCAGCAGTTGCATGATAGGAGAGTTCAGTATTGAGATTGTAAACTTGCCTTGTTGTGAGAGTGACCATGAGTGTCCAGGAGAGCAAAATACAGGCGTGCTATTGAGCTGCAGGTCTCCCAGTTCAGACACAGAAGTGAAAACATAATACGGAGAGCAGGAAAGAGCGGCAAAATACAGAAAAACGAGTGGTAGAAGCACCGAGTTCTTTGACAGCCCCATCGCAGCCCATGCTGGCTGGTCGCTGTCCGGAGCAGTGTCCCAGGTGTCCCAAGCAGTGGCACCAGCTCGGGGCCGCGCGAGGTTGGGGGGGGGCTGCTGGGGTGGGGCCTGCCGCGGGTGCCCCCGGCAGCTCCGCCAGCAGGACCCGGCGTCTCCAGGAGCCGAGCGCTGCCGCCCAGGCCCCGCTCCCTCTTCCTGCCCCGTCTCTTCTGTCCTTTCTGGCATGTCGAGCCCAGCCCAACCTTGCCCTGCACCACCGGCCTGCCCGCCACGTGTTTCTTACTGTCCTGGTTCTCCTCTAATGCAGTTTCTCTTGGTCGCGTGCCCGCTTTGGTGAGTGCGCGCCGTGTGTTGTGAGCAGGCGCAGAGCTCAGCTCCTCCTCCCGGGCAGTGCTGCAGCGGGAGCTGGGCTTGTCCCCACGCTGTCGTTGAAGGGTCCCCTGCACTCTGTCCTGTTTGGTCTCTCTCTGCACCACGTACAAAACAGGTCCAGCTGTGCAGTTACTATTAAGAAGCCTGTTTTGGTTGCCCATGAGACTGAGCCTGTTTCAAGGAAATGCTTTTTTTTTTCTTTTTTTATTTAGCATGTGAGATGTTTCTAACAGTTTGTGCTTTATGGGGTTCTGCTGTCTTGCATCAGCTCTTCTGTGGGTGCCTGAGGCTTTCCAGGCTGAGCAGCAGCAGGTTATTTTGTCCTCATTGCCACCAGAGGGAGGCCTGAGTAAGTGGGACGTGAGGAGTAAAGGACATGCCAGGAGATTTGTATGTGCAGCAGTATCCCCGAGATTGTGTCCCCGTTGTTGTTTTGCCTCAGGTAATTAAACCATGCAAGGAAAAGAAATCCATTTTTTTGTTGGCTGTGCACAGCTAACTGAAGTGATGCCATTTCCCTGTGTTGGCAGAGATGTCGTGTTGTTTTTGCAAATGCTTTTCAGTAGCTCCAAACACAAGCAGATTTCCCTTTGCACAGGTCCACCCTGTTAAAACATTGCGTGGTTTTGACTTAGCTCTTCCTTCCTCTGCTGTTAGTCACATTTCCTCCCTGCTGTTCCCAGCAGCTCAGTTAGGAAGCAGCTAAGAAACGTGGTGGGAGATGCCTGCATTCAAAGCTGGGATGATGGTAGTCCAGCCGCTGGACAGAGCTTCCTTCTTCCTCTCCAGAGGGAGCAGTGAGTTTCATAATGGAGCGACTGCTCTTGCCATCAGCAAGGCATGAGCAGATCTCTTGCTTGGATGTTTTTATGTGCACAAATGGAAGGCAGGAACTGGAAAAGGAAGAACTGTGGTAGTACTGCATACACAGGAAAAATCTAGGGATCGTTGACTACAGCAAGGGCTGATGAAAGTATCCAGAGAAAACAGGCGAGGGGCTTGTTTGTGCTCAGCCTCCTGCCAGAACGTGTCCTGGCCGGGGGTGTCTGCCGTGGTTGTGGGGAGCTGGTGCTGCCAGGCTCCAGCTGCCTCTGCCCGCGCCGCTGGGCTCCTCCTCATTCACCGCTCAGGCCATTTCCATTGCTCTCCTCTCCCTGGTTAGAGCATCTTGCACTCAGGATGCTATTTTGCATGCACACGTGTCGCTGCATGGCAGGGTTCCCTCCCACAGGCACGTTGTAGCACAGAATAACCCATGTTCTTTGTTTCTTTCCTTCTCTTCTCCTCTCTTTTTCTTTCTTGTTATCTGCTGCCCGAAGGCTGTTAAAAATATGGTGGGAATGGTGAGTATGACAAGCAGGCGGGAGCGAGAGTCCCGTGCAGGACGGAGCGCGCAGACAGAGCGCGGCGTCGCTGCAGGCCGCTTCCCTGAGCTGCCGGGCAGTGCCAGGCCCTGCCTGCAGGCCCGGGGCTGCTCGGTGACGTTAACGTGGGAAAAAGACAGTGTTGGCTCGTGTGGGCTGTAAGTGCTTCCAGGCCGAGACGGGTGGTCCTGGGATGCATTTGCTCCTGGGTTAGCAACTTTCCATCCTTCCTGCCCTGGCTGGGCTTGAGTTCTGTGGGATCCTGGCATCTTAATTTGTGTCAGATCATCATAAACCACTTTTTTCTGAACTTTCCTACTTCTGTCTCTCGGGCCCAGATAAGAAACTTCTTTCCTGGGAAGTCATAAAGGTCTTAGGAAAGTCTTCCATAGTTTCATATGATTTTATTCTGTCCAGTTTAGTGTTGAGAATTGGTTTCTTGGGATTCACATAAGGAATATGGCTTAGTTATGGAATGGGCTTTAGCAACTGCCTGTGAGCAGCCCCAAAGTGTTTCTTTTCTTTTCTTTCATGTCCCAGATTTTCCTGCTGTGCTTCCTCCTTGCTCTTTCTCCACTGGCCACATCTCCAGCCCTCACCCCATTCTGTCCCTTGCTTTGCTGGTGTTTTCAGCCTTGTTGATCGTCACTGTCCCTGGACTGGTCCCCCCCGGCCAGGCCTTTCCATCTCACTGTTCGGCTCGGGGGGCAGCTGCTGTCTCCATACGTCCGTAGAGAAGGGGCTGTTTGCAGTGCATTTATTTAGCTTTGTGTCAGGAAAGTGTTGATGTGGTGTGTCAGGAATGGCTAATGTTTGTGTTGTTATCTTCAGCTACATCAAGTCTTGGTTCAACTTCAGGCAGGAGAGAAGGAGCAGGATTTCTCCTCCGCACCAATCCAGGTTTCAATCAGTGTCCAGCTCTGGAGGCTTCCTGGCTGTCACGAGTTTTTGGCAGCTCTAGGTAGGAAAACACTTCCTCCTGTTTTCTTACTGTTACTCCTGCCTCATGTGGTAGAGTCAAGTAGTGTTGGGACTCGCAGCATGAGGGTTGTTTGCCTGGGTACCGCTCGTTTCTCGGCAGCTCTGGAGGTGCTGCCTGTCTGCTCACTACGTCTCTACCTGTTCACATGCACTCACTGATGCGTCAGTGGCAGGGGGAGTTTTTCTGCATACACTGAAACATCTCCTGGGGTAGCAGAACATGTATTTCAGGGCAGACAGCTACTTGGTGCCATCAGGATGGCTCAACTCCATTTTTTATTTTAGGATCCTGTTTCCCTGCTCTTGGAATTGCATTCTAGTGAGTTTGCTTCTGGCATTCTCTCTGGAATGAACCAGCTGTTCCTTTGGCAGCAGTACCTGTCCACTGAGGAAGGATAGGACATACCAGAGCGACAGTGTGTACCAGGAGTTGTATCCTGAAGAAAAGACAGATGAGAACTAAACACCAAAGTAGTTTTTATTCTGTTTTGGACCCTGCTTTGGGGAAGGGCATTGCATTTTGCAGCACTGCAGAGAGAGACGCCCAGGAAGTTTGTAAGAAGATCTAGCAGACACTGGATATAGTTTCCAATATACATTTATGCCCCCTACTGCCTAGCCCTTGCTGGCTAAGTTTCAAGGTCTCTGCTCCTTTTTAGGCCTATTTCTATGAGAAATCTTTGAATTAATGATGAATGGCAGGGGCACATAGGACTGCTCCCCAGAAATGTGGTTAGTGTACGATTTGTTTACAATTCTGAATAATTTGCACATTAAAAAATAATACTGAGTGCCATATTATGTCTGTTAGTTTGGATAGGAGTTATTAGTGTGTGTGTTAAATGTGGCACCTGAAAGCTTCTTACTACCTGCTGGAGTATACATGCCAGAGAATAATAAAAACAAACCAGCAAGTGTACACTGTGGGACACATCATTCTAGGACACTGCAGATGCTTTGTTCTCTTTGTGTTATAAAGGAGATCAGACCTCTTTTAAGACATGGAATCTTTCTATGAGATATGATTTTTTTTGATGTTTTTACTTCATATTCTGTTGCAGGTTTTGATCTTTGTGAAGTTGGGCAAGAGGAGGTGATTCTGAAAACTGGGAAACAAGCTAATAGGAGGACAATGCACTTTGCTCTACAGTCCTTGCTGGCACTTTTTGGTAAAGTTACTCACAGCAGTTTTTTCCCTGTACCATCTGCTGATTTGATCAGAATGGTCTTTCTTGGTATTTCATGTTCTCACCTTTTGTGCATGCATGCATACATCATCATACATACTTGATATAGACCACACGTCACACAGTAGGTGCAGCAAACATTATTTTTTATATATAAATATAACTTTCCAAACTTTAGCTGCCTCACAGAAAGGCTGCCTCCCAAAAATGCCGCAGACAGTATTGCAACATTACTGCCCTGCTAGAAAGATGCTAAAGGAGAAGGTGTCTGTCTGGGTAGTTCAAAATGTTTTCCAAGGAAGACTATATCAGGCTTGTAGCACTACTGTCTGGAGTAGGAAATATTTGCCTCATTTTACAAAAAGGGAAAGAAACACGAAGACTTGACTGAGGCCAAAGCTGGAACTAGAATCCATCATCAGGTGGATGAGTAGCCCATGATTATTTTTTGAGATCCAAAGCTGGTAATCCATTGACAAGGTCCCAGAGTTTTCCTATAGGATACCTAGACTGAGTTCCTGCCCTTGAACTTCCTCAACTGTGCACATAATTCTTCTTGACTAAGTAGTGGTTATTTTAGTGTAGCATAAAGCCTATGTGCTTGTTAGAGCATTTCCTCTTGATTCTGATGAGAACTTTACCTGGTTTCATTTGGTTTTAGCGTGCAATTAGGGATGTGTTTGTACACGTGTTTTTTCTTCTTTTCCTAGATTCTACGGAGCTTCCTAAGCGCCTTAGCCTGGACAGTTCCTCATCGCTAGAATCTCTGGCTTCTGCTCAGTCTATTTCCAACCCAGTAGTACCTCAGTATCAAAACCCTCCATTCTCTCCTACTTGTCCAGATGGCATTGCCTCGGATGCCATTTCTGTGTATAGCCTGAGCTCTATTGCTTCTTCCATGAGTTTTGTTTCCAAGCCAGACAGCAATCCAGATGGTGCCGGGCACAGAGGACGCCAGGACTACGAGAGACCCAAGAACATCTACCCACATAGACCTTCTGGAGCACAGAGCCAGCTGTCACTGCAAACCAGCACTGTGGTGAGCAAAGATGAGGAGGAGTATGAAGGATTTTCCATAATTAGCAATGAGCCTTTGGCGAGTTACCAAGAAAACATGAAAACAAGATTTTCCCCTGATCATAAACAGCCCAAAACTGATCAGACTGGAAGTATTAAAGAATCTGTCATTTCCAAGGGGAGTGTAAGTACCCCAAATTCTCCTGTTAAAATGACTCTTATTCCCAGTCCAAACTCACCTTTCCAAAAAGTTGGGAAACTTGCAAGTTCTGATACTGGGGAATCTGACCAATCTAGCACTGAGACGGACAGCACTGTCAAGTCGCAGGAGGACAGCAATCCAAAGCTTGATCCCCAGGAGTTGGCCCAAAAAATTCTGGAGGAAACTCAGAGTCACCTCATTGCTGTTGAACGTCTTCAGAGAAGCAGCAGTCAAATAAGCAAAGGCAACAACTCAGATGATGGGGCCTCCACACCAGCAGGTGCATCTGCATTCAGATCCTCAGAGACCAGCGCGTTCAGTAGGCCAGTCAGCTCCAGTCAGAAGAACCAGTCGTCACCTGTTGCAATTAAACCAAAGCCTCCAACAAGGAGTTCGTCCCTGCAGAAAGTGAGTTCTGGCTATAACAGCCCCACGACATCCGAGATGTCCAACAAAGAAGGCACAGGCCAGTACAGCGGGCAGCCGTCCCCAAGTTCCGATTCACACGGATCCTTGACTGAACAGCCTCACTTCAAACTCAAGTACCCCAGCTCTCCTTACAGTGCTCATATTTCTAAATCACCCAGAAATATCTCTCCAAGCTCAGGGCATCAGTCTCCTGGCGGCAGCACTCCATCTCCTGCTCTGTCTTATTCCTCAGCTGGTTCTGCTCGCTCAAGCCCAGCTGATGCCCCAGATATAGATAAACTGAAAATGGCAGCCATCGATGAAAAAGTGCAGGCAATTCACAACTTAAAGATGTTCTGGCAAAGCACCCCCCAGCACTCCCCTGGCCCAATAAAGATTTTCCGAGGAGCTCCTGGAACAATGACTTCTAAGAAAGATGTCCTCAGCTTACTAAACTTATCTCCACGACACAGCAAAGAAGAAAGTGCAGATAAGCTGGAACTAAAGGACCTATCTATTCAGCAACACCTTGCTTCTCCACAAAAGAACCCTCCTAATGGACACAGGCACCCTGAGTCTACAAATGCAGTGACAGCAACTCATTCTGCACCTTCCAGTAGTGCTCCGGGAACTGTACGCCCTTTGAGGCTGCCCTCTGGGAATGGTTATAAATTTTTGTCACCGGGAAGATTTTTTCCTTCCTCCAAATGTTGAAATGTCCTGTATACCAACTGATGACCTACAGTTTTGTTAAAAGTATTTGCTTCTGCCCACTTGCCTATATCAATACAGAACCACAGCATATTGCCCGAGGAGCCGTGGTCGCAGCAGTCGGGTGTGCAACGGGCTGTCCCCGCGTTGGCTGCAGGAACACGGGCCGAACGCAGATGGGCTTTGGTTCCCTTTACCTGCACCATGGACAGACTCACTTGGTCACAGTTCTAACACAGTGTTCAGTATTTGCAGCAACGGGTCCAATGAATCTACTTGTCTGGTCATAAAATTAGCTCCTAAGCCACCCACCTGTGTTTCTTATCCTAACAGGCGGTTTTGCAACGAGATTTTTATACAGAAATTAATACATATCAGGGATTGGAGAGGGAAGTGAGAGAAGGCAAAACTTTCATTTATACCACAAAGAAAGTATGCACAAGTTTCTGCCTAGAGAAGTACAAGCCATTTCTTTGAAGGCTGACAGAGAGGGTAGGACACTACCCCCAGATCCCTCTGCTGGGGTAGCCAAATGCAAGAGGCCTCCGTAGCAGCACCTCCGTAGAGTGCGATTGTGGCCGTTGTCTTGCATGGTGCAGAGGCTGGGGATGCAAAGAGGAGGAGACGGGTGTCCCATTGCAAAACCTCCTTCTCAAGTACTGTCTCTCTAGCGTGAAACCATTCAGGTGAACTTTTTGCTGATTGCTTTGCTCCCAAAAGAATGTTTGGGGCGTAAGGAACAATCTGAGCCTTTCATGTGAGTAGGAGGAGTGTGTCAGAGAAAAGTTCTAGTTTTATTGAACTGATCTTTCTGGCACCCAGATTCATAAAGGTAGAGTTTTTGTCTTGGCAAGTATTTGATCAGCAGAGATGTCTTCTGCCTGCTAAATGTGCACAGAAAAGGGAGACATGCTGAAGCTCAGAGCAGTATTTTACAGTTCTACAGTAGACGGAAATCTGATATGAGGGTATGTCATTTAAAAATACATGCCCAAATAAATCCATCATTAAATCTGCTGAATCTTTCCAGGTCACAAATCTTTTCCCTCCTGCGAAAACATTCCTTTCGCAGATGAGTGTCCCAGTGTAAGCACATGAGATAGGTTTATGTCCGCTTGCAGAATCTATGCACCCCCTGATCCATGGAGAGAAGAGAAAAAAAAGAGCAACCCAGAGGTGATGAGTAAAACACAGTAAGCTTTTCTATGTTAGATTGTGTTTAGGTGTAACAGATCGCGTTTGAGAGGTCTCGTTTTGTTTTGTTCTGTTTTTCTGCGTGGCCATTCAAATGCAGTGGCATGGTAATAATCAGAAGTGATAACTCACATGCACTGAAATTACGGACATGTGGTAGCTTTAACGCAGCCACGTTGCACACTTGGATCGAAGAGAAGTATTTTGCAGGCCATGAGCTATGAAGTCGGAGCACTGGATCACCAAGGCTTTTGGTTTCTATTCTGCACTCCCTGAGTTTCTTGGGCGACTGGGGGCTAATCACTTCACCTCTCTGTGCCTCGTCTTCCCCATCTCAGTGGGGATAGTAATACTTAGCTACCTCACAGGGGTGTTGTGAGACTTAATTGGTTCATTAGGCCCCAAGCGTCAGTCAGATCTTAAGTCAACTTAGTCTTGCATGGGCTCCGCAAAGGGAGAGTGCAGTCAGCTCCAACCGTACCAGGGGGACACGGTTAATGTAGATAATTGTTCCTCCCATCGTGTCTGGATACTCTTGAAAATACGGGCCTGACCATGTGTGATTTTCTTTAGGACCTTGGAGCAAAGGCATGGTAGCAGGACAGACGATTAAACTCTTGACACCTTAATATAACCTTACTTACGTTCAGCCTCCTGACGGTGCACGTATCAGATGCTTGCTTTGATTATATTCAAGAATCCAGTGGTTTTGGAGGATGCTTTCCTTTTCACCACTGCCAGGAGTTAATATGAGCACTGAAGGCCTAGAATATAGAGCCGTGTTGTTTTAGCCAGCTAATGAGGGATGGATGATGACAGGAGTTTCCGAAAAGAAAGACATGACTTTAGTTATTCATTTATTCATATTATGCAGTGTAGCAAAACAGGAAAAAAAACTCATGCGATGCAAGTTACTTGTCGGTGCATTACGTTTTCCAGTGACGGATTGGTGCTAGGTATCTCCTTCCTTAAGCAGGAAGAGACCGAATAGCGGTGGGAAAGGAGCCAGTGCAACATGTGCACTTCATATAGACAGAGATATTGCTGATCATGCAACTGTTGGGGTCACAAGGCGGCCGAGAGGCTCCCGGGGAGCGGCTCTGTGCGTGACCCACACAGCGACGTCCTGGGGACATCCAGGGTGGAAGTGGGCAGCTTCTTGCTTACAGCAACAGCAAATACTCCCTGCACTGCTGCATAACAGAAACAAGCCTCTCTACTTTCAGTTTACTTCCATAACTAAAGGATCTTTAATCTGTAGCAAATATATATTGCCATTTTGGTACAGCCCATTTTTATGCTGCCAGCGGGTTTCATACTGGCTTTGGATAACTAAACTTTTCAGAAAGAGCCAAGTTCTTTCTTGTTGTTGTTGAATGGCTGGGAGAGGGGAGTGGTAGAAGCAGGGAAGGGGTCAGACGTAGCAGAAGTTCAGTATTTGGGAAATTGGTACCGTACAAATACGGAAGGTCAGTGTCGCTGGAACAAGTCTTTCGGGAACTGTATTTCCGTTGACACCGGGCACTTCCATTGGCTCATGGAGAGCTATGAACATGCATGCATGTCGTGGTTGGGATACGCTCACACACCTCGTGCCTCACTCCTCCACCCCCTGAATGAGAAACAACCCTTTAGCGAGGAAAAAAAAGTTTTATCAGGTTTGCCCAGTATGTGGAGAAATTCAGGAAATGAAAATAACACGTCCTCCTTTTGATATTAGAATTCCTTCTGTGGAGTTAAATGCATTTGTCGTTGTTGTATTTGTGCATGGTACAAGTGACAACACTGCTATATACAGTGAGCAATAAGAATTAGGTATTATCCACTTTCACATTAAACCTTCCACATGCAGAAAATCCCCAAGGCAATAGAATGTATTTTAGTTTGGTTTTACCCAGTCCATTTTACTGTGTGAGATACTAATTACATATATTTTATTGACTGTCTTTAGTTTAAACTCAAATGGGAACAGTAAACAGTCTCAGTGATGAAAACACTATTTCATTTTGTTGGTTAGCCTGAACTCCGGGTACTGATTTTCCTTCTTTTTAACCATACCTTATTCAAGCAAGGAAAAAGCACTGCAGGGGTGCACCACCCACAGGTATTGCCCTCGGCCGTATTTCCTTTCATTAGGTCAAACTTTTCTGTTTGAACATCTCCTTCAGATTAGGTTGGTCCAGGTGTGCAGCAAATCTGCGCGGTGTTGCGAAGCACTGGTCGTTTTGGGCTGGTAACGGTGGATCGGAGCGGTTTGGGGATCACTGCGTCCCGCGGGCAGGGGCAGACGTGGCCACGATGCGGACGCCTTCACAAGGACTTTGGGGATGGAATTCCATGGGGATCGTCAGCAGGACTCCAAGCAGCAGCCCCTCGCACTTGCTCTCCTTGTATGCAGTGTTAGCCATGTTTGGCCTGTACGGACTTTTTTTGTAAATTAAAACTCTGTTTCCAGACAGCATTAAACTTTTTATATTATGAAATTTACCATGTAAAAAGATTTTCATATTTTTATTGAAATTGCTAAGGCATTTGGCCTCTTCCTTTGTGATTTCAGTGTCTATTAAAGCATGAGTTCTCTCAGTCCCGCAGTGTCCTGTTCTGGAGCGGTGCCTGTGCAGAATGGTCGTCGCCGCCGCGCGGAGCTGGCGCCGCTCTGTTCCTCTGGGCGCCCCGGGGAGGCGAACGCGTCGCGTGGGAGTCTGCGCGCGACGGCCGCTGCGGCACCGCGGGGCCCCGGGAGCTCCCTTCGCTGCTTCGCGCATTTGTGACCTTGGTTTTGCACAGTGCGGTGCCCCTGTTACAAATGATGATTGGGAAATTGCTTTTCCCTTTCCTTGCAATGATGGGATGGTCAATTTGGCTTAAGGTCCTTCTTGTTTTACAAGCAAAAGGACAGGTAGAGGTGGAAGAAACCTCAGGGATCATCCAGTCCCCTCTGCACTGAGGTAGGAGCAAGTGCTGAAGGTAACATATTGCCCCCGTACCCCTGCCAGGGTCACTTAAATGTCCCCTGTGCCCGCCCACAAAAGGTGCTCGTGAGCCTCGGGGCAGCCTGGGTGCTGCAGGGACCCGGTCCCCAACCCCATGGAGGGCCCCTTGGCAGCACCGCGTTTTCCTATTCTGGGATGCTGTGCTCTGGCAGAGACGTCCATTAGTGCATAAGGGCATGCTCAGTTCTCAATCCTGGCAAACAAAACCCGGGAAAGGGGGTTTCCCGGGGCCAGGATGGACGGGGTGAGACCAGGAGGGGCTCCCTGGTACCTGATGGGGAGAGGACACAAGTGCGGCCCGCGGGAGCCACCTCGGCCACCGCCGGCCCGCGGCCACGGTCCAGGGAGGTGCAAGGCCCTGCCCGGGCCAGTGATGATCCCAGAAGAAACCGTGCAGCTCCCGGACACAAAACCACATTGAGCTTTTGTACGGGTTGGGAGCCAACGAAAAGGTCCATTTAAAATGCTACATTTCTTGGGAATAGGGCAGCATTATTCACCATGAAAAACAGATCTGCATCGCTGCGAGGTGGCGCGTCCGGCGCACGGGGGGCCTTGTCCTCCCACGGCGCCGAGCGGCCCCTCCGGCAGATCCCGGACACGGCGGTGACCGCGGCGGCGCCC